CCAAAACCCCAAAACCCCAAAACCCCAAAACCCCAAAACCCCAAAACCCCATCTATCTTAATTTCTCACAATTATTAGGCATAAATTATTTTAGAGAAATAATATTAGATTTTACAGCTAAGAGAGAGAAAATGGAAAACGATGACCCTTGGTGCAAAGAAATGCGCTATAAAACAGACGAGCAAATGGCATATTGCATGCAACTTGGTCTAGATTTCAGACCTCATGTATATTGGATACTGTTTGAGGAATGGACTGGTTATAAAGAAGGATCTTACACAGGTGGCCTATTCTTTATCATGTTTCTCGCAATCATAATTGAGACGGTGCCCTTTATAAGATGGATTATAAAGAATAAGCAAGAGTAAGCAGAGAAGGTTGCTCCTGATAACCATATAAACAAATCTGATTTTGAAAATTCCCACATTAAAAAGGACGGACCTTAGAAGATGGTTTCTACTCTAATTATTTACCACATTCTTGACTCTGGACTTCAGCTTATTGCCAAAACTAATTCTTACCTTATTATGCTTATAGTTATGACATATAACTTTGGAATGATAGCTATGGCATGTGCTGGATTTGCTCTAGCCAGTTTTGCTTATGGCATTATTCAAGATAGAATTTACATCAAATAGAAAATGGAAGACTCCAATTATTAGAAAATCACAAATAACTACAAATGATGAGTAAGAGAAGCTTATCTTCAGCCAATTCCGAGGATTTTATAACATTTCCTAAAATGATTGGCTAGTTTAATTATCCTTATTGATTAATTATATGATAAGTTAGATATTAGTTAAAAGATTTATCAGTCATAATTATTTGGATAGATCAATCATAGTTTAAGAATATGGCAAATGATATATCGAATCATTTATGCTCTTATCAAACCTATGATTTAGTTGAATAATCATCACTTTATATAATCCTCATCCTGTGTCTTATTCTGCTTGGTATTATTATCTGAGTGATTTATTAGTTAATCCTATAAAATATGTTGTTTAATAGTTTAAACTTACATTCTCCTCTATCATATTCTAAGGTTTCTGACCATTCTTTGGTTGCTTGGCATGTGGATACAAAACATAATGCTAGAACAAGAAAATGCAATCAAAAAAGATTGACATGATTGAAAGCATAAACTTCACTATGTTAAAGGAATCAGTTCCGAAGAAAGGCTATCCTCTTGCAACAGTGTCAATAATTTATTGGAGTAGTGATAGGGTTCCTCCTGTTAAGTCCAAAACAATATTTTCAATTGACCAGCCATCAGTACTTTTTCTTACATAATTAAGATAAACCTAATTATGTAAACTTATGTTTAATTACTTAAGGCATGTATTTCACGAAAGTAATTAATGCTTTGCAATAGCCAGCAACTCTAAGAGTGCTAATATTGTCATTGACTTTGGTGCCAGTAACCTCGACTATGAAAATTGTCATAACAAATATCCATTCTCCTATCAGTAATGCTATTGGCCACCATGATAGTTTTTATTGCTTTTCACCTCTCTATATTTATGTAAGTATTTGATTATTACGTCATAAACAAATATTTGAGTAAATTGGCAAGCTGAAATAGTAAATGCATGAACAGCAAAGAATAAGTCATTTGGGGCGACCTATTGTAATTTTCACTTTAAAATAGGGATATTACAGTTCCAGTAACTGGAGAAGTGTAAATAAATCCAGCAATAGAATAAAATGAGTAGAAGAAAAAACCTTATGGATTCAGCAACGCAAATTCAATTGAAAATCCATCAACACTATCAATAAATTAATTGAGAGTATTTACCTTTTGCGTCTGTAGTTTATGATGATCTAAGGATAAAATGAAAAACTCCAGGCAAAGAAATAAATCCATCCTATTGTAATGGATACAATATCCCAAGTATGACTGTCTGTCATTTTAATAATTATTCGATTTAAGTTGATTCAAATCTCAGAATTATTTATTACTGAATCCAATAACTAAATACTAAGGGGTTTTGGGGTTTTGGGGTTTTGGGG